AACTTGGATCGAGACCAGTTTTTAAATCGGCCCATAATGTGGTCCTTGAGACCGTGAATGGAGCCTCTCTTGGTCCATACATAACACAGAAATCAAAAGGCAGAGGGAGGGGTATGAGTATGACCTATCACTTTCGTTTTATATTTTCTCTGTCACACACAAAATCTAGTGGAGGGAAGAACTAGCAAATCAAATAGATACGGTGTGGATTGTGCTGACCATTTTGGAAGCTAGAAAAAGGTTGTGCTCTGGTGTCTTCGTCGTCGCTTGTTTTATGTTTGAATAATCAAATCTAGTCAAAAAAATGTATCTGATTACATTTTTAGAACCTAGCCCAATAAGATAATTTGATCTTTTTAGACAATACTTTCGAAAAAGTTCCCAAATATTGCTCAAGAGGTCACCAGTTTTTAAGTTGCATTGGAGAGTTCTTAACCTCGGAGCCTAAAGAATGATAATTTGATCATACGAAATTCTTTTCTTCAACACGAGACTTGCTAGATCATTTAAACATTATTAGAGAGAGTACTCATGATGACTACCCTATAGTAATCCAAACCTTCCGATTTCGATATATCTTCCCCAACATACCTCTCGTTTATAAAAGCCAAACACTTTCCATCAAGGTTGTCAAACCCCTATCGGACCCCTGGTTGGACTCGATATGACATAAGTTGGGCTTCAAAATGCCCTTCAGAAAGTCCTCCAGTCTAATCCCTAAAGAGGGAGAAGAAGAGGGGGAAAAGAGGAAGAGAAATGAAGAAGGGAGATGGTGGGTGGGTCATAGAGGTTAGGTAGATTTAACCTGTGGAAAATAAGTTTTTATTAGATACATTTAAGATAAATTTCATTGCAGTCACTAAATCTTTAATTAATACCTTATTTGTATATATATTTAGAAAACGTATAAACCGGCTCAAATCGGCCGGACTCCAATCAGACAATTAAATATCAAACCCCTTGCTTAACCGGCTCAATGACTTAAACCGGTTTGACAACCTTACTTTCCACATATTATTTGAGTCCATTAGGCATTAGTCTTTCTTATTCATTCTTAATCCTAAACAAAAACCCTACCACAAGGCAACTAGTGGTTGGTAGTAAACCTACATGGATAATCTGCTGCCATGCGTTCCCCACGGTCTCAATTGATCTTGATTGTGTAGTTCTTTAATCCGCTTTTGGGTCTCACGTTGCCTACAGTGTAATACTTTGAATATATAATCTGACGTTGTTTGTTGATTGAGAAATGTGATAAATGATCATTGCATTACGATGGTATATGTAGGTTAGATGTTTGGCGTGCAAAGCAAGAAATGATGTGGCGACTTGAGAGGAATATACTTATTTTGTGTATGTGGCGTCTTCACGCCTATAGCTATATCAAAATCAATTGGGCAGCCTTTTGTTTTCAAGTTTCAATTGAGAATAAAAATGATACAAACGGTCGGTTTGGAAGTTGAGATTCTTTAAATATGTGTATTTGATGAATACATATATTGTAAATACAAAGATTATAAGAATTAGATGATTGAAAGAATGTCTTGTTTGGTTGTAGCTATTCAAAATTTTTAAAGAAAATAAAAATCACTTTATGAGCTAAAAGTGAAACAAATTAAAACCAACAATCTCAAAGAAGAAATCTCACCTTTTTGTTGAGATTTAAAATGAGTGATTGTGGGTGATATGAGATTTGAGGGTCTACCTCAAATGCATGTATTGAATAAATTTGTGGCACAAAAAAACGATGGATTCTCCAGAATACATGAATTCAAAGAATCATTCATCTAGAATCATAACTTCCAAACGACTCCAAAACGGTTTATATGTTTATAAGTTAGAAACCGGTTTAGCGGATTATAATTCGCCCAACTTCAATGGTCTTGTCATTCATTGATAATAGATCCCACTGTCAAATAATCAAACAAATAGCTGAACACACAAAGTTTTTTAGTGGGGTGATGTCAATAACTTACTAGTCCACATAGAGGATCTCCCTGTTAGGTTTTATACTTTTTTTTATTTATTTATTAGTTTGTATGTTCTGTATGCAACAATATGTATATTGGTTGCTTAGACAAACTCTAGATACAATTATATATTGATGTTCATACTTTTACACACTCACTCAAATTGATCTCGTGTACTTAACACTAATTTGCATGAGTGATACCCGTGTCGGCTCGAACTCATTATTTTCGTCAAAATATCCACAGTTTGATCAGCTGTCTTCAAATAACTCATCTATGTTGCTCCTTTTGGTTACCAATTTCCATATATAGTAAACATGCACCTCTATATGCTTCGTACAATTGTGAAGGACTTGATGAATGGCAATCAATATTGCACGGTATTATCTCCATATAATAGCATCAGTGATTAGCAATCGACTTCATATTCCCGGAGCAATCTCTGGAGTCATATTATTTTTGAACTCACCTCGGACATAGTAGATCTATACTCAGCCTATGTCGATGATTGAGAAACTTTATCTTGCTTCCAACAACGTTAGGGAAAAAAAGGTCGACCAAACCGAACGCTCCATCCTGATGTTGATCTTCTTGTGTCTAGGCATCTTGCATAATCCGTGTCAACAAACGCCTCAATCGTTGGCTCTCCTCCTGTAGGATACATTAACCCGATATCTTATTTGTGTTTCAAATATCTTAATATGCGATGTACTTCATCTAGGTGTCTAGTCAATCTTCACTCTAACTTTAGATAAAAAATTATTGTAGTTTGCTTCACTTGTTTACAAACATTCTCTCATTGTAACAGTGATTGTTTTATATTATTTGATATATTGATGGAAAGTTATAGTATAAACCTTCTCGTATAAGCAGTTCGATAAACATGCCCCATAACAAATGCCCGTGCAAAGCGACATGGAAATGCTAAAATCTCAATTAGGTCAGAGCTATTAATGTTAGGTGCGTACCTATGCAGTGTCATGCATCATTAACAACAGTTTAACTGGAAAAAACATCTAATACAACTATCTATATCATTCTGTGGGTGACTGGGTGTAGCCTCGTTGAGTGTCCACGTAAAACGAGCACACTAAAACTAGCTAGCCATTGTATGTCAATCACAAAGAGAGACGGCAATATGAAGTCGAGAACACAAATCTTTCAACATACGTCATCACAATTTTTTGTTACAGTAAATAGGTTGACACAATCACACTCATACACCATTTCAGCACACCCAATCATTAACATGGAAGTTGGAATTGAGCAAATGGGGTGTGGTTTGAAGGTAAACTCGAAAGAAAAGGAATTGACTTCCTTTCCTTGTGGTGACAAAAAGAGAATGTGGGTTGACTGAATCACCAAATGAATATGAGTAGTTGAGTACACTAGTAAACGTGTGTTAACGTAACAAACTAACAATCTAACACTAAATAGTATATATATATATCTGACCAAACTGACCTATCAAATGATATCTCCATTTTCAACATTAAAAAGAAAATGAAAAGATATAAGAGGGACAAGAACAAAAATAAGGGAATTGGGGGAAGAACCCAATCATGTCTTCTTCATTTTGCCGTTATTAGAATAGTACTCTTCCCTTTCCCTCCATTCTTCCCATTTTGCGAGCCAAAACTGACCTAATCTCTCCCGCCAAAAATCCAATCTCCTTCCCTCCCTTTTTTCTCTTTCACTTCCTCAAAAGTACTTCTCCCACCAAAACAATTTGGCGCCTCTTTTTCATCCTCTTGTTATTGCGTTCCTTCATTTCCCACCTCTTCAATCCTTCCACTTTCAAAATTTTCTACGCGAATTGAAGTTGGTGAAATTGAATAGCAGGTTATATCAAAAAAATATGTCGAAAAGTAGTTTGCACTAAAATCATAGTTTAATGATGGGTCGACCATCTTCAATCGCTAAAATCGTCTATAGATTTTAGTCTCGTGTCGTGTATTTTCTGGTCCGCCAACCGACACAATAGATTTTTTAGAACATTGACTTGGATTCACTCTTTGAGTAGAGCTGTTCATCGAAGTAGAAGCGAATTTTGAATTCATCGGTATTTGACAAGATTATGCGATCGTTTAACTGACCGTGATTAACAACATTTAGATTTAACAAAAAAAAAAAGGCGACGATGATATCGTGAGTCAAACTGAATATCACATTTAGACTGATTGAACATCGTTTACAAATTTCATATACTCGAGCATCGGATTACGCTAGTATTAGCTATAGCAACAACATAACGACCAAAAATATTTCATGAATCTACACAACCAATTCACATCCTAGTTCGTAATGAATCAAATTAGAGTTCAATCACAAATAATTCAAACGCGAACAACGCTGATTCCCGCGCCTATCAGACTTCCCTCAGCACGATCATATAAGACACTTGACTTCACATCTTGAATTGATGAATTCAAATTTTTTTGAACACCAAAATCAAATCTTTTTGCCAAATCGGCCAAAACCTGAATCTGAATGACCTAGGTCTGGCGGGATGATGGGTACCTTTTTTGTAGGTCAAAAGGAGTTTCCTCATCCAACAAGGGCGTTCTTGTAATTCAACAAAAACAAGGGCGCGTTAGGGTTTCCTTCCCCCCCATTTATAAACCTCGTTTTTGGATCGCTGCCGTGCGGTTGTATTAGTTGTAATTGTCGGTTCGATTCCCTCTCTCCTTCTTCACTTCCCCCTTCTCTTACTTAGCTCTCTGCCTCCATCTTTTTTCCCTCCCTGATCAAATTTCTGATCATCCTTTTGCCTCCATAATCATCATCTAATTCCCTGATCACTTCACCTTCTCCCTCGTCCAGTCCGAATCTGATCACGATCATTTCTGTAGCTTGATTTAATCACCACCTTCCAAATCTTACCTAGATCTCTGTTCTCACAAGCTTCTACTTGATTCACTACCCAGCTCGAGTTCAGCCTCCAATCGGGGAACTTGACAGCTGCCCATTTCAGCTCATAACCATTCCCGATCTGTGTTCCTGTTAGATCTTGACTACACCAGCCTTAAAATGCTCGATCCGAGTGACAAAGTAAGTTTCACCTCCCTCCCCTGATCTCGATCTCTCTGATTAGAGCAGCTAGCTAATCAAAGTGTTATCATTCTTTTCAGATGTCGGGCTACGCCGATGACGACGGCAGCCGGGGATCCTCGCCGGGGGGAGAAGGAGACGGCCAGCAGAAGAAGACGTGCGCCGATTGTGGCACAAGCAAGACCCCTCTATGGAGAGGCGGCCCTGCCGGTCCCAAGGTAAATTAATCATCGCCAGCCGTTCATTACAATCATGATCGATCTCTGATTCAATCTCCACCGTCCGATCTGTGTTTCTAATCGTGGGTTTTGTCCTTTTTTTCCCTTGCAGTCGCTTTGCAACGCGTGTGGGATCAGGAGCAGGAAGAAGAGAAGGGATATACTAGGGTTAAACAAATCGTCATCCACCGAGAAGAAATCGGCGGCGAAGAAGGCTCTAACTCATGGCGGCGGTGGCGGAGGAGGAGGGCATAATGGTCACACCAGCAGTAACAAGCTGGTGGGAAACGGGCTGAAAGCGAGATTTGTGGCGTTGGGAAGGGAAGTAATGATGAAGCAGCAGCAGAGATCGAAGGTGGAGAAGCAGAGAAGGAAGTTGGGGGAGGTAGAGCAAGCGGCGGTTCTGTTGATGGCGCTATCTTATGGCTCTGTTTATGCCTAATCATTGGTTTGGTTCTAATTAGGGATTTGGGTAATCAATAAGCAAGAACCCAAAAAGAATGAGACGAAAATTTGTATTAGCTGACCAAAATTTAAGATTAGTAGATGGGTTTAGTGAGTTGGGTTGATTGGGTTGGGTTTGAATGTGTAATCCTTAAAAAGTTTTGGAGGGTGCTAACTGTATTTGATGATGATGTTTGTTGTTGTTCTTAGGGGTTGGGTGGATAGTAAAAAGAAATGTGGTGGGTGGGTGGATGGGGTTGTGTTGAATTGAAGAGGAGATGAGCAAAAAAGAAAGAAAAAAAATTGTTGCAATGATTTTTATAATATTCAATTCTATTCTATTTAACAGCTGTTGTGATGGCGATGGGTCTTGGTTTGTTGGTTGTCGGATTCATTGTCAAGATTCTATTATGCTCTCTATTGAGTATTAAGTTTGGCATTTACCTTAATTTGGGGTCAATCTAAACCCTAATAAATTCTCTAACAAAATGAGACTCATGAGATTGTGGTATGATGGATGTTCCTTCACTTTGTCGGTGATTAATGGTTAATCATTGTCTGTGGGAGTTGGGGCTATTCTGTTGCCAACTAGGTATTTGTCATGTCTTAATTTCTTTAATGAAGAATTTTATACGGTTGAAGGGGGAATTTATCATAGTTGAGTAGTGACAATATTTCAAAATGAGATGGCGAGTAAATTTAGATTTATACAAGACTGAAAAAGGTGTTGCTAATTACTATAGAAAAAAAGGGTGGTGCTTCATCTTGCAAATATTATGGGACATGTATCAGTACAGTTGCTGCTCCGTCCCATCTTGACTCGTCATATTATCCTAATGATGTCAATGTTGACTCGTCATATGCATCTTGGAGGAAATCGAATGTCTAGATAGGGTTCTCATAAGGCAACACTGTGGCAATGGAGTAATGCTGACCCAATTTGAAGCACTTTAAGTTCTTATTAAGCAAAATGAATTGTTCTCTTGCATAAAAGAACCGCAACTACGTTAAAGGAATGTGTTAAGTGTGAGAAAGGAGTGACACAGGTTTTAATTCATAAGACAAGTTTAGGTTAGGGAAACTTAATCAACATGGTTAAACTTTGATCCATAATTGCACCATCATTGCAAGGGTTGGCGAAGGGCATAAAGTATGATCAACCTTATTAAGTTGGTGATTAGGATTTTGGCTAAGAATGGGGGAAGAAGAGGGCAGCAAAAGAAGCTTGCAATGCTACATTCTTTTTCTTTCACTTAAAGGAGATTCCTCAAAGAATAGAGAACACAAGTCCTTTCCTTTCCACAACAATGGCATCATATCTTTCTTTTTTCTATTTTACTAGTTGACTTGTGGCCTTCTCCGTTTGGATTTAAGGTTTTGCCTTATTCTTTATTTATAGGTTTTCTGTGGTGGGTTGCTTTCGTTACAGTTTTAGTAATGGGACAGAGAGACAGAGAACAAGAGCATGAGAGGACCATAGGTTGTAGACTAGTAGTAGAATGATGATTACTTCACTCTCTTCTTATAGAATCTTCATATATGAATCTTGACAGCAAAGAAAGTCAAATTTTTTCCCTCGTGGTTGAGGTCATGTAAAAAATAATAAAATAAATTGTAGTTTGGGTAACCACTCCTTTCGACCTAATATCATGTATATAATATTAAGCAAAATTTTATCGATATTTTGCGCCAAAATAACTTTATATCGAAAATTATACATGAATCATCTCCATCAAATCTCAGTTATAACTTCTAGTCCTTGTTTGTTTCATGGAATTCATCATGGATTTGGTACGTAAAAACCAAGCATCATGGACTTTGTACACAATCCGTTGTTTGCATGATGGATTTAGCATGAATAAATCCGTGGGGCCCACATACTTTTATGGTCCAAATCCATGGACCCCACGGACTTGAGAATTCCACCCCAAGAGGTGGGATTTGTGTTGGGGGTACAAAGCCCATGTTGACTTTTTATAATTTTAACCCTACTTATCAAACTAATCACCAACTTATTCTCTTTCATTTACTAATGACCAACTTGTAGTGCATATTAATTTTGCATTCAATATTCGTTATTATTCATTGCACTCAAACACTACATGATTAATCTCAAAGCATACTTTGCAACATTGAAAATCTTAAGGAATTGTCTAATTATGTGTATAATATGAAGTTGTTATTGATTAATCATGTTCATTTGTTCCGATTGTGGTAGTAGGACGAAGCTATTGGATGAAAATTATTTTTGTAACAAAAATTATAATGTAAAAATAGATAATACTCAATAAGGGCAGTAACATAAATTCCTAATACAACCACAAATATAACAATTTCAAATCCATCATGAAATCCAACAAGCAAACGATGGTTTGTACCAAAAACCAAATGGAGCAATTTCATCATATATCCATGGTTTTGTAAAATCCAGGTTTTAACCAAAACCTACATTTTTCAAATCCATGAGCAAACGATGTAATCAAAAGATGTCATCAAAGATGACATCAAAGATGAAACTCCCTACCTCCTTATGGTCCTCTAATTTTGTTTGGTGTTAAAGTGGTATTGGATTATGGTGTGTGGGCCCCATGTATGTGGGATTATTTTGAGGGCAAAATCCGTGGGCTCCACAGATTATAAAATCCCACCTATTTAGTTGGAATTTTGTGGGAGGCTAAAATCCATGATGGTAAATGACGAGACTATCCTCATCTCTTTTCAATATTTCTTATATTGAACATTAAGGACACAAATCATTAAGGATACAAATGTAAATTCAGCGCATAATTGAAAAATCCCTTGGACACAAATCTAGGGGTGGGCATACGGTTCGTAAAATCGAACCGAACAAAAAACCGACTGAAACCGAATTTACCCTTATTAGGTTCGGAATTCAGAATGAAATAGATAATATTTCGGGAGACAACTTCTTTTGAACCGAACCAAAAAAACTGAAAAACCGACCGAAATTTCGAATTTTTAACCTAGATATGATCTGCCCAGAGCCCACTCCCATCCCCGGGCCCAAGTTCCCAAACCAGCCCAATTTTTTAACCCTTAACCCATTCTTTGATAGCCCAATGCCCGCCCACCCACAGCTACTCTAGCCCACTGAAACCACAATACCACATCTTCTCCAAACCCTAGCCTCACTTGTGTCCCGCCAACCCATCCTCTCCAACCTCACATAGCGGCCGCCACCGCTTCGCAGTCCGCCATCAAATCGTCATCGTTCCGCCATCTTCTCCTTCACGCGGACACCACGACGGAAGAGGAGAGGAGATCGCCAACATGCAAAGTACATCCACAGCTGATCCAACCTGTTGGCGGAGCAAAGAGCGGTCAGTAAAGGCGGAGAGGGAAGTCGAAAATCGAGGCAGAGAGCGGAGCCGGAGAGGCAAGAGCCGGATAGAGGAATTGGTGGCTGCCGTCTTATGCAGATTCTTCCGAGAGGAGGGAGATAGTGGCGGCGGTGGGAGACAGGCGGAGCGCTCAGTAGGGGCGGCGAGGAAGTCGGAGATCGAGAGATTGGTGACGGTCGTTTCTGTAAATTCTTCTGAGAGAGCAATAGATGGAGAGGAGGGAGAGAGTAGCGGTAGAGAAGGGAGAGAGTGGTGGCGGAGAATGAGGGAAAAAAGAGAGGAGGGGAGTGAGGCGATGATATTTCGGTTAGGGCCTTGAAACCGGACCGAACTGAGATATAATTCGGTTTGGCCAAATCCAACCGAATTATATCTCGGTTCGAATTCGGTTGGGGGATATCTGGGTTCGGAACATCGGTAGATGCCAGTTCGGTTCGGTTCAAACCGAACCGACCGAACGCCCACCCCTACACAAATCCAATATGGGATCCAAAAAGCAAACATGCACTTTTGGAAATCCATCACAAATCCAAAGTAACAAAATCACACATAATCCTTCATCCATAAAATCCAAGATTTTATCTAAATCGTTCATTTTCTAAAATCCTACAAGCAAATAACCTAGTTGATTACTATCGCTTGACGGTGGTGGACTAATATTTCCGAAGCTGGACCCGTTAGTTTTCTTTGTAGAAGTAGAAACTCATAATTTTCTTCCATGACTGGCGGGGCTAGTTCGTAAGTTCCTCTTCGGAGCACTAATTTAGTCTGCAACAAGAATTAAAATACCGTATCGGAGTTCATATCAGAAAAGTCAATAATAAAGTATTTTATGTTGAAACCGTGGTTCAAAACCGTTACATACCACTAAATACTGTCTACCTGTTTTACATCCGGCATCAAGTTTTTCTAGTCGAACCGCCTTTATTTTCGGCCTAAGACTAACTTCAACCGGTAAAGTTAAATTTGGCTCCCCAAATAGCCAAATATGGCTTTTTAGCTCCCCAAATCCCATTTTCACTCCAACCCTACACAAAGCTAATTTCGCTTCCCATCTCCCTTTTTTCAATTTATTACAATAAACCATACTTATTTGACCTCTAATTTTCATATTTCACTTTAATTATTCTATAGTTAGTTATTACTTTTGAAACCATAGTTGATATGGACAGGTAAGAGAAGGGGAATCTACCATCTCCAACTTGTCAGTCAAAATATTTGCATAGACGACAGAGAAGAACCCTCTGGCCTTTTTAGTACTTTGGGTTTTGACGTAAATAACAAAGGGTACGTTTGGCTACAGAGCATCATTTATTGATCACCCCGTTTGGGCACTTGCTCTTTTTGTCCAGGTTAATTTTTAGTCATTTCAAGTTGTTATTTTATCTACCATATATTACCCATTGCCGTCACGATAGTGATGGCAATTTCAACCCGCCCCGCGGGTATTAGCCGACCTGACCCGCGATGGGACGGGTATTACTCGACCCGCAGTAGTGTGGGGCGGGGCATGGATATCTACTTTCGACCCGCCCTGCCCCGCCCCGTTCTAGACTCATTTTATCTCAATTTCTTACAATATCTATACATATTTCTCCTATTTTGACTTTTCTTCAACTAGTTAGAGTCGATCTTTCAACTTAATAGGCTCAATTATCCATTCTATTATCAATATTTTTCATTCTTAAAGTGTTTTTCCCTACGTTTTATTGTAAAAAGTAAAATTTACTTGTATTTTTTTTTGAACAACATGTAAGAGTGGGTCGACCCGCCCTGCCCCGTACCCGCGCGGGTTTTACCCGCCCCGACTCGTAGTAGCATGGGGCGGGGCATGGGAATTGAGGTACCCGCCCCGCCCCGCCCCATTGCCATCACTACGTCACGAGTGACAAGTGTAAATTGTCATGGCGTCGTTCTTACGATCATGGAGAATTATTTGTACACAATCCAATATCGATAGGTTGTGACTTGTGACTTGTGAGCACTATGATCGGGTTGCTCTTGGGGTCATTTCTGTATCATGTAATATACTTTTTGCGACTTATTAAAAGGAACAGAGAACACTAGGATTAAATATATTACTTTTTAAAGATAGTTGATAGAATATTGATGATCGAGAGTTTCGAGTTTGGATATATATACCTAAAACAGGATTGGAGAATTCTTAACTAAACTATATTTAAACATATTAGATTGGTCTTAGCATGATTGTATGAGTATCATTCCTTTTGTTTTTTTAATCTGTTGGCATACCAGTTCATTCTAATTTTGAACTCGACCATCTTAGGTTATTAATTGGATTCACATGGTGACCAAAAATAGTTACTAGTCCATCGCGCTACAAATTCTCTAATTTAACGGGTAGCAAGTTAGAGACAAAGAAAATTTCTTAAAATCTTCAAACCAAATTATAACAGTTTTCCGAGCCATTAAGATTCATGGTGTTTATACCAAAAAATAATTTCAGTTTAGAAATAATTGTCACAGTGTCGTGAGGTTAATGTCGCCGCGAGAGAAACAATACTACGGTAAGCAATGCCGCGAGCTCAACAACAACAACATGGTATGCAGCTATGTTGCAAGCTAAACAACAAGGTCGCAAATCCAACGGTTTCGCGAGCAAGTTTGACATCATCGTGGAGATCACCGATGCCACAAGTTAAGCGTGTAGTGAGTTCGACAACGTTGCGATTCCAACAACATTGCAAGTCCAATAGTCTTGCGAGCTATGAAATAACAACATCGAGCTATGAAATAACAACATCGAGAGACAACAAAAAATCAACACAAAACAACTTTATCAAAACTTTCTTTTTCTCTGTAACTCCTTCGCGGAGCTCTCCTTCCAGGAAGGATCTCCATAGTCGTAGTCGTAGCATAGTAGCGAAGCTCTCCACAGAAATCTCCATAGGAGTAGTTGTAACGTAGATTCCACAAAAAATCTCTAACACCCTCGTTCGAACATTGTTTGGAGAGGTGTGAACCGAGTAACAATCGTCTTGGTTTTCAGAAGTAAGAGGTGCATCGATCAAATGAACACCGCTCGAAACAATTTAGTACACCAAGTGGTGGATATTTGACGGTCGTCTTGATTTCAGCAGTCAGTGGTGCATCCGATCAAACGACACCGCAAAAGTTTCCACATCAAATCAACATCGCCCGAAATAAAATGGCACACTCGGCGGTTGATATTTGGTTTTGCGCGAAACACCTAGTCACTCAAACCAAAGCCAATTCATATGACTTGATAATTGCACAGAACTGATACTCTTATAAGAGTTACTGAGATTCGAACACAATACCTATTGATCATTGAAAACTTTGATCATTAGTACCAGACGGTTCTTTGAGGATGAGATTATGATGCGCCATTAATATCCACTTTAGTTCGAGTCAAGATGGAGTGAAGATCAAGTCATTATTCTGGGCTGCTGAAGACTCTTGAGTATAAATGGGCTCAAGACCCATTAAGCATCTGTCCTGCGAAGCGGGCCTATTGGTGATGGACGATACTCCTCAAATCATTCGGTAAAGCCCACAGGCCGCAAGCCTTTCAACCTGTAGAGGCTTTCTTCTCCGGGTCATAGCACGTTTAGATTATTTGACTGTGAGTGCAGTTTGTTATTGTACATGAAAATTTATTGTACCTGCCATCTTTTTTTTTTTTTTTGAGTTAGCCAAAGATCGTAACTCTCGAACGAGCAATCAATCAAAAAGATTCTGGAACATTTTTAGATTTAGGCACTGCTCCTCTAATGATGGTAGTACCAAGTACTTCTTATAATATACACCGGTATAATTCTAAGTTTATAGTGATCATCATAAATTACGATGACGTGGAAAATTATAATATGTATTGTGGGTGGTGAGATCCAGCTAAGGTGGGCTGGGGATAGTGGTGGGAGTACTAGTAGTAAGGATTTGTCTGCTTCAACACTAAAAAGTAGTGCTGTCAAAGCCGAACCGAGCCGGCCGGCCGGACCGCCAAAGCCGCCACCCAGTCGTAAAACCGGCTCGGATCAGCTATTTAACCACCACGGTTTTATACAGCGGCCGGCGAGCGGCCGAAGCGGTTAACCGCTCGAGCCGCTCAAACCGGTCGCGCGGTTCGGCCGTTTGGTTTACCCTAAAAAAATAGAAAAGGGCAATCGTGGAATCGGCCGTCAACACCTCTTGTCCCGCCATCGGCGCTTCCCGACGGCATCGCCATCCCCAGTCACCATCGCATCGCCATCGCCAGTCCTTGTTGTAGCAAGCAACTCCCCGCTCCCGGCGCTTCCATCCCGTCGCCACCGTCGCAAGCAGCTCCCCGCTAAGCTGCACTGTCTCACCAGAGGCTTGGATTGAATCCGAGCCATTTCGCGGATTGGGACGAGGAAGAGCATTTACGGGTTAAGAAAGGATGATGATGAATTGAATGTGGTGATGGATTTTTGAGGAATTGCAGAAAGCTATAGTGGCTGAAAAATGAAAATAGGTGCGGCGGTGGGAGAGGAGAAAGGAGAGAGGGAGGGGGGATGGGGAAGCGGAAGGAAGGAGAGTGATGGGTGGGGAAGCGACCCTATCGCTTAGGATTAGGTTAGGGTTTTTTTTTTAGTTGCTGTATATATATGTTGTGTAGAATTATTAAATGGTACCTGTAATTATCATTTTAACTCATTAAATCATTGAATTATTACTTTATGTGTGTTCTACTATGATATTATATTGTTTATAATGTACCGGTTCTCAAACGGTTTTTAAACGGTCTAATGTCGGCTGGACCACTAATGACCGAGCCGTTCACGTTACCGGGTCATACTCCGGCTCGGCTTTGACAGCATTGAGTAAAAAGGGAACCTCTCCAATTTGGACTGATTTGCGATTGCAAATTGTCCCCATCGAAATTCAATGCTAAATTACTCACCGCCATTCACATACCTATCTCTCCTATTTTGGATCCTATTTTGGATGACAATTTCTACTTGACTTGTTCTATTCGATATATATTGTGCAGGTGATACTCGTTTCGTAGGTAGGTGGACGCATATGAGTACTGCTTTTGATCTGATTTGTCTCGACTTATCTCATTCACGATTAGTTTTGTCCAAATCATATGTCATTTTACTCAAATTATTTAGAACTTTACCTTTATTGCATCACACTTTATATATAATAAAGTTGTAAATAAGTAATGACCTCAATCTCTTTAATTATTTAACTATATTTTTGTTGTCGTAATTTATTTCTCGATTTTTAAAGAATATTTTCCTATCGATCTGAACCTAATCTACCACGAAGCAGGTATGATATTGAATTACACCCCCAACTGCCATCCTATTCCTATCCGTCCTCCCTAACTATTTGTTCGATGTACTTTGTCCTTCATTTCTCCCATTTACTGTTCCTTCCCCCGAAAATTACATTGTACAAACAAAAGGAGATACTGGGAGTGAAAGGCTTTTTCACAAAATATAGAAATTAAAAAAAATTCTACAATACTTAACTTTCAAAAATATTTCACAAAATAACAAAGTTTGGCACAGTTCGAGTTTCAAACTCGAACTACATACCAAATCGACATTAAGAAACTTGATTAAGAAATTGATCGTGGGACCACAACTTGATCAAAAGTGGATCGATTACAAGGAACTCGATCTAGCTAGATCGATGTTGCCAGACTCGATCTGCATGTGCATCGAGTTTGCATGACTCGATCTGGCTAGATCGATGTTGCCAGACTCGATCCGCATGTGCATCGAGTTTGCCTGACTCAATCCATATGAATTATTGCACGACGATTATTGGTGGCACTAGATCGAAGATCATGAACTCAAACTGCTACTAGTTCGAGTTTTTGAGGCTCGAACCACTTTCCAATTATTCTGCCAAGTCGCTTTCCGCCCGACATGCTTTAAGATAGGGTGCAAGGATAAGATTTTTGGTCCTAGTGGATCGAGTCCCTTGAACTCGAACTTCGCTAGTTCGATGGACATGGCCTCAAACCATGTCACCAGTTTACGAAAATAAAAATCAAGCTCTCAGCACATTCTTCCAGCTCATATACTTTCTATTTTTTTATTCCAAACACAAACTGCAGAAGTTGGAGCACCATAGATGAGCAAAAAAGAAACATTTTATTGCTAAGTTCCGATTAGGGGTGACCGTTCGGTTACCGGTTAACTGGTCGGTTAAAACGATAACCGACCGGTTATCCACTAACCGATAACCGAAGTAACCGAACTTTGGTTGGTTATCGGAAGCTGGACGTAATGGTTTTTGGTCTTAAAAGTGGTTCGGTTAACCAATAATCGAGATAATCGATAACCGGTCGATTTTCGATATGAGGGTGGTCGATTTTCGGTATGAGGGTGGTTATCTCGGTATGAGGGTGGTTAACCAATATCGGAACTTCGGTCGGTTTTCGGTATGAGGGTGGTTATTTCGGTTAACTGATAACCGGTCGATCGGTTACCGGTTATAACCGAAATAACCGAACTGCCACCCCTAGTTCTGATTATGTTGGTGAGTAAGCATTAGAATTTTGGACTAAATTTAGTATTGTTTGAACTCTATATAAGGGATTGTTTCTATAAACTGCAAAAATGGGTAGAAAATTTCGGAAAATTGACCTATTGATTCGGTGGAATGGTCGAATTACATATTTTAATAATAGCATTGACAATGAAGATGGTGAATCAAATACTGTCCGGATTGAGAGCATATTTACTTGGCAAGATCTCTGCCATAATTGTGCAGAACGATGTTGCATAGGGGGCGAAGAGTATGCAAGATGACTTACCATATGCACTTGTATATGAAGAATCAATTCTGTCTGACGATGATAACACTAAATTGATGGTGAGATTTATTGCAAAAAAACATATTTCCAATTGTCGAGGTGTATGTCGAGACTGAAGTTGTTGCTGAATTCCCTTCTGACGGGCGCGGGGGGGGGGGGGGGGGGGGGGGGGGGGGGGATCCAAACTCGTATGGGTCAGGAAGTGCCACATCTTGTCGAACTTGCACAGGGACTCAAACTGGCTCTTGCCGATGTTTACTCCTCCTTGGTGGCGATGGGGGAGGGATTCAACTTCAATGGCATGGGAAGAAGGACGTGGCAGTGTAGGTGCAAATGGATGTGCAATCACCCTAGTCATTGACGCAAGTTCCAACCCATCAACCTAGTTAGCAAACACCTTAGTCAAATACTCTTTGTGTAGCTAAAGTAAATAAGGAAAAAATAGATGTATACTTACCAACGAACCGATCACGACACCACGTTTGGTTACCCATCTTTTTGTGAACTTGCGGTACCAAACCATGTATTCATCTTGGTACCCTATTGGCCTCGTCATTGGGATGCCATCAATTGCATACGTAAACTATAATGTTAACTCGTTGAACTCTATACTATCAAGTAAATTGAGTCCCAACGCGTGATCCGAGTAAAGTGAGTTTCCCACACTCGATCCGCCTCACAACTACTCCACGATAGTGGCAATCGAACTGACTGGATCGATTTTCGCTAACACGATCTAGGGTAGAACGCGTCTGACGTCATCGATCTGTGCCAACTGAATCGAGCCCTCCTTCATTGATCTACGTAGATCGAGTTTCCCACACTCGATCCACTTCGTTGGGTCTCAGCCAATCGTGGCCCTTTCACTCGATGCATATGGATCGATGGTGTGGCAATCGATCTAGCTGTAGTTCGAGTTTCTTGAACTCGATCTGTGCCAAACTTTTGTATTTTTGAAAAAAATTTATAAAAGTTATGTATTGTCTGATTTTTTTTAAAATTTTTACTGTATTTAGGGAAAAAATCTGATAGTGAATGGGATCTCAGGCTCAACCTAACAAGTTGTACCCCAGTTTGGTGGATATATCAATGCGAAAGGGTGTCTTCAACTGAATCTTCGTGGAAATGCAGATTCAAATATGAGACCTCTATTTTTTTGTGTGAGTGTGACACTTTAACCATTCGGTTATGAACTTGATGGTTTGATTAGTATCTCAATATCTATACTCGAAGTAGCATAGTGATGTTGGTCGGGTAAGATGGTTGAGTAACTTGATTTATGATATGGGTGAAGCATGGTGCATTGTAATCTGTAACGTGCTCGTGAAATGGGTTAATTGATTTCTGGTGTTGATAAATAAATAGTGAGACCATGATACGTTATGATTATCAGGTCGAGTTATTCAACTAACGTACCGTAGTTGCATTATAGTTGAATATTAATCCAACTGGTTACAATAGGGAAAAAATATAGGTAAAATATTATAACTGAATTCAAGTACAACGAAAATAAAACAAAATGAATCGAGGTAGAAGAAACGAAAAAGAACCACATGAGTCCTATATTGTTCAATAAGTAAATAGGACCGACTCAAAATATATTGAAGTAGAAAGCCAGTTGAACGAATTGGATTGAAATTGCCGTTGTTAAGAAATAATTGATTCCAATAACTTGAGTTGTTGAGAAAAATCAATGTATAGACTATAATACTTAACCACTTCCTTACAGTTCTTGCTTAATTAGACAGCGAAAGGGAAGAATCAACGGGAAAGTTGATAATCAATGACTGATCTAATTGACTCCCTTTCGATCACACGAAGAGAGTCCGGCCAGCAAGAGGAAAATAGTGCAGCTTTGCACAAGACGACGACACCCAGCACGAAGAAAGGCAAAAAGCACACAGAAAGGAAAGGAGGGGTGAGAAATGAATAAAAGTAGTGGTGTTTAATGAATTTGTCGCCTCCTTTTTCCTATTGTCTTTCAAGTTTCAACACAAAATTAGGGTTTGTGTGAAGGAATAGGAAAAAGGAGATTACTGATTAGGGTTTGGTTTGTCCTGAGGCAGAGGGCACAGTGCCCTAGGCAAATCGCTTTGCCAGTGATAGAGCATATGAGTTGTAAATTGATCAAGACAATTTGCCCATTTGGTCAATGCAGCAGCTGGTCCCCAAACCAAACAACTATACATATTATAATTAGGGATTAATGACAGTTTGGTCACTGGGTTTACCAAAATTTGTCATGTCACTAGAAAAATTAATATCAATAATGATCACTAAGTTTAGTAAAACATGTCATGTTTGGTCACTCTCCGTTAGTCTCCGTCAAACTCCGTTAATAGAGTCCAATAAGTGTTGATGTGGCAAGCAGAATCGCCTAGTCAGCCGAATTTAGCCCAACAAAAATAAACCAACCGCCACATCATTAAAACTACCCCAACCCATGACCCAACCCTTTTTTTTCTTCTCTCTTTGACCCGACCGACCCGAACCTTCCAACTTCTCAACCTTTCCTCTCCAGATTCGGCCACCTCCTGCTCCACCGCTATCTCTTACCCAGTTCACTAATCCCAGTTCTTGCGCTTCTTCTTGAACTTTTTGGGGGATTTTGGCGACGAGGAATGAAGTGGATGATCTTTCCAGAAAGATACTGTAAATCATAATCAATAATGACCATTTCCCTCAATTTTCCATCACAACTGTCCATTTGCCCCCCCCCCCCCCTCGTTCCTATCTTCAAGCGCTTCCTCCTCTCGCCATGAGAGGGTTCCCGAAATTCCATCACTTCTCCTCCTCCTCAACAACATCCACCGTCACATACGCCTTCCACGAGGCTGCCAACCAGCCACCGCCGCCAGCGACCAAGAAAATTCCCGTCCACCTCCCAAAATAACCATCCACCGACAACAGATCTGCATCCGCGACAACCAAAATACAGGCGACGTACCGCGTCCACTTGCTCCACCGCGCGAACTCGGCCGTGGACGTCGAGGCAGGGGAGATCCAGCTGTAGGAGACGGTGGACGCGGTGAGGAGGGAGGAGGGGGAGAAGGCGAGGGTGAACGAGGAGATGATGCAGCTACTGCTGGACGCCGTCCCCGGGATGTTGAAGATGTAGACGAGGGAGTGGCGCCGCGCCATGGAATCGAAAACTTGGGCTCGAAGAAAGACAACGGCGACGATTGATTAAGTTTTGCGATGCTTCTTGGGGCTTGGTCTCCATTTTTGCACCAGGGGTAACAATTGATTAAGTTTTCCACCATAGGAGGTGGCCGGATTTGGAGAGGAAAGATCGAGAAGATGGAAGGTTCGGGTCGGTCGGGTCAAAGAGAGAATAAGAGAAAGGGTTGGGTCATGGGTTGGGGTAGTTTTAATGACGTGAGCGATTTTAATGGCGTGGCGAGTCATATTTTATTTTTGTTGGGTTAAATCCGGCTGACTAGGCGATTTCGTTTGCCACGTCAGCACATAACGGACTCTATTAACAGAGTTGGACGGAAACTAACGGAGAGTGAGCAAACCTGACATGTTTTACTAAATTTAGTGACCATTATTAATATTAATTTTTTCTAGTGACTAAACATAACACATTTTGATAAACCTAGTGATCAAATGTGACATTAACCCTTGTAATTAGCGAGTGACATATAATAGTTGGCAACCGGTGATTAAAATGGGAAATAGGGTTTTATTTAGCTTAACCTCGCTGTTACATAGTGATAATCGTTTGTTTTGTTGAACCATAAGAATTGCAAATTGAGGGAAAATTGCTAGGGCTCAAGAAAGAGCTCTTGGCTTTTATGTTTTAGTAAAGCATTCACTCGAATAGCTTCCCCTGATTAAAAAAAAAAAATCGAAATCTTCTCGATAATACGTCAGAAAAAACAGACCATTAATCGATTCAATTAAAGATGTGATTATGTGAAATCTTCGAAATTGAAAATCATATACTTTATAGTATTCGGCCACTCTCTTGTTAACATGAAAATTACTAGTGGAAATGGTTTGTCGCAATGTCAGACACTCCACATTACAACCATTTACTCCCTACGCCGTGGTGGTCAAGAATAGAGGGTGAAATGGTTAATAACTGCAGACAAACAAACAAACAAACGTAACGGCGGCGACACCTCTTTTGACTGGATGCAGCCGGCGGCGGGAAGCTGATCTCAATAATCTCATCAACCCCTTTCTTCACTTTCTTTCCACTGTCAGATATTGATTAGGCTGGCTGGCAATCTAATTAAGATCTCTCTTCAACTGCTACATCCTTCGCCCCTCTCTTTTACGACTTAGCACAAAGTAACATTTCTTGATTCTCCCTTGCCTCCTTTTTCTTGAGAATCAAAGGTGACCCTATTTGATCTAATCTCATATGAGGTTAGTTTAGTAAATGCATATAAAAAAGATATGTTGTAGTTCAAGTTTTAATGCTGCTACCGCTCCCATATGAGCATGTAGAAACTGTATTGTGCAAAGGTTATGTAAATATATTTTCACGTTAGCAAGTATTCGATGAACCCATGTAAGCAATCGATTCTCATGTTATCAAATCAGACAATTGAAGATCACCACAAAAAAAGCATCTACCTAGTGATCCATACCATAGATGAAATAAGGAGAAAATCTAGTCGCGCCACATTGTAACTTAGTAACCCAATAAATAATCCACACTTTGCCTTGAGTAATTATGGAAGATGATGTTATTGTTAACCTAATAACCCCAATGATGGAGCCACGGTTGCTACTTGCTACTTGATTTCCAATGAAGTAATAATATTGCCCTCCACCTATAGAACTCACTCCTCAAATAAGTAAAACTAGGTGGCGATGCCGCGCCTTGTCGCGGGGTGGAGATATCCTATTGGCATGTATTATGTTGCCCTTTATAGTGTTTTGTTAGTATTATTAGTCGTCTAAACCTAAAAAAATTTAGCAAGTTTGTTAGTAATATTGACTTGATAATGGGTAGGGTATGAGTGACGTATATGTGAGTTTGGAAGTTTGTAGAAGGGTTTGAGTAGGGTATGGATATTTACTTCCATAATCTAAATGTGTATGAGTTGGGTATGGATATCCATGCATTAAAGTGAAATCTAAATATTAGACCAATATGTAAATTTTAAAAATTGTAGGTACGAAAATCTTATAAAATGTAGATACCAAAATATAATTGTTCAATGAATTTACATTAAAATTAAATTTGAGATATCATAATGCAAAATGTACATTATAGTGATTAAATTATGATTTAATTAAATTTGGATATCAAAAAGTAAGTTTTTATGCAACAGTAAACTTACTTCAGCTTTATATATATTAATAGCAAGTGGTAAATGGTAGTTATAATATATAAAAATATAGATGTTATATTTTGAGACATCCTATTATTCGTGCGTAAAATTCACATTTTCACTCGATTGTATAAATTATTCACGTGAATTCACTTATATTCATGTTACATAACTTACTTTTTTCACGCACCTTCATTAGTATCCACATTACCTCTGGTTCGCTTTGTTACACTTAACTTAATATTAACGCATTAATCAACACATTCAATCAAATTACCAAACTTCACCACCAAATTCAATCCCATCAAACCTTAAAACAGCTAACCGACCTGACTGACCAGAACCAGACCCACTGTGCCCACTACCGACACTCACTTGAAAGATATCCCACCCATAATTTTCCAATAAAATTAAATAAAAAAATATAACAAAAAGAGCCAATGAAAACATCCAAATCCAGGATTTGCTAATGTTCATAATGTGTTTATCAGGGGAAAAATAGGGTCTAATTAGAAATCAATTACTTGTCATTCTCCGAATCCATCATACATACAAATTGCCAAAAAGAAAGCTGAAAATTAAAGAAAATATTTTTAAAATATAATCTCCGACTCCAATAAGATACAATTTTTTTTTTTTTTTTTTGTTCAGCAGATTACCAGATGCAGAGAGGAGGAAGCTCTGTTTACAGCTCATTTTTCTTCCCGCAAATTCCGCAATGGATTCCGCGCCACCTTGGGGAACTGGAATCTCTCCGTCGTCTTCGATGCCCTTTCCTTCCGTTTCTTTCTCCCATGGCTGAAGCTCCCAGATCTGCCCAATTATTCCGCTAACTTGAGTAAAATTTCCCCTGTTTCTATGGCTGAATCACAAGGAAGAAAAACAGAGCAGAGAGGAGAAGCAAGGGGGAGCAGCTGGTGGCGGCAGAGGAATCGGGCGGCGGCGGGGTGTGGAAGTAAAAAGGGAAGTAAGGGACGATCGGGTTCGGCGGCGGCGGGCCTGGGTAGTTCGAGTACGTCGGCGGCGGGTAGTTGTACGTCCCCCCGATGCCGCCGCCGCCGCCTCCTCCGTTGTTGTTCCCCTTCGACGGAGGCGGGTAGTAGCCGGAAGTTGAGGACGGCGGCGGCGGGGAGTAGTAGTACGACCCGCCGGACGATGGCGGGGAAGGAGGCGGCGGGGACGGCGGAGGAAGTGAAGGGGGCGGCAGAGTCGGAGTCGTTCCGCAGCAAGTGGAGCACATTTCGCAGGCGATCTCGTACAATGTCCTGGATTTGGCCGCGGCGGTGCCGGAGCACGAGGAGAGGAGTACGGCGGCGAGTGCTAGGAGGAGGGTGGCGGCGGTGATTCCGCCGGTTCCGGCCATGAGGGGGAATTTGGGTTGAGCTGAATTTGTGGAGAAGAAGGGGGAAATGAGGGAGCGGAGGAGAGGAAAGAAAGCGATGGAAGTGGAGAGGAGCGGGTGTTTTGGGGATTATATTGGTAAATTGTTTTTGGGACTGAGTATGGGAATTGGAAGGTGTGTGTATAAGTAGTGGCTTCATTTCTTAGGGACAATTGAAAAAAAGGACCCTAAAATTTAGGGTCATCAAGAAATGGTGTCCTAAACTTTAATTCCGTATGAGCTTGTCATTGCATTCTGGAATGACTAACCTGGTGGCAACTCTCCGATACGATCAAATACTAGTTCTGTCGATGGATGAATGCCTCTCAAAAAATACGATTGTTCGATCTTAATGTTGGTGAAATACGAGCTTGTCATTGAGTTTCTAGAGTGGCCAAATATGGCAGGAACTTCCCACATACGTTCAAACACGAGTACGGTAGATGAATGTCGATTCTTCACACGAGTTCTAGATCCTCACCCTTCTCATCACACGTACTAGAACTGTGGGAAAGCCGTCGAGCCCTATTGTGGTATGAAACTATGAATGGTGGCTTACATTATATTGAGGTGGTGGACATTGAAAAATGTTTGTGGTAATTGGCTCAAGTGAAAATTATACATCATCGATCATCATCTGGAATGAAAGTGAAGCACAACTTGGTTTTTAGTCACAAGATTCAATGATCTCATGCTCCTCGAGCTTAGTCTTTAGTCAAAATATTATAATCAAACCTTCATAAGTTTTTTCCTCAAAGCGGTTCCATCATGCTAACTCTGATAAAGCGTCCGCTCAGCCTAAAATCACCCCAAAAGCATGCAAAAAAAACTTATACTAGCTAATCAAATACAGCTACATGAAACGAGTTTAAACGGAAGACTACATCCTCAACTTAAATAGGATTTTTGGCTATGTCCAATGTGTTATAGGTTCATTGCTTAACTAGCTAGTATTATATCAGCAAGCATGTGCTTAAGTTATCAATTTAACATCAACATAGCACGTGTCTATAACTAATCACTGATAATTCCAACGGTAATAGGCTAATAGCCAATTAAATATTGTAATTGTTTGTATTTCCCTTTTTTTTTTTAATTTACCGTATGGTAACTAATAAGTCGAAGGTTTAATGATTGTTGTAACTTGTAAGTGGCCTGGTCTGTGGGTGTGGGTTAGTTGGTGGAGTTAATTACTGCCATGCAAAGGAGAGAGGAAGGAAGGTAGGAAGGAAGCAAGGTTGTGAAACCGATTTATATCGTTATGTAGGTTTGACAAGTGGTATGATTCGATGAGTGGTACAGTTGGTCTATATCAATTTACGTTGATTTTAGCAAAATATATAGGGAAGTGTTAAATCATTAACACCAAATGAATTTAACCATTCTAACACATTTGAAGACAGTCTCTTCAAAATTTACATTCATATTTAAATAAAGAACATTTCAAACAGAAAGAAAAATCTTCATATTTAAATACAACATTTAACGTCAACATCAAAATGTTTATAGTTGAATCTAACAAATAACATAAAAATCTAAACATTCATCTTTAAAAGTTGAAACCAACAAATAGTATCAACATTTTAAGTTTTAAATTATAAAAAAGTCAAATTTTTGTCTGTTTATTAGTTTCACCAAAAGAGTGTCATTTTATATATAAAAAAAAAATTAACCATGTCAAAAGCATTCCAACGACTTTAACCAAAGATTAATTGAACTCGATTGTATCGATCGACCACGCCATCAGCATGACAACCATACCAGCAGCAAGGAAGATGGGTCATGGGTAAGGTATCATGGGTAGGCTTGGCTCGAGATGATGATTATCAGGTGGATATTCCTACACGTGGCAAGATCAGGTTGGGGCTGAGGTGGCAGATTGGGTGGTGAGGCAGGCGCCAGCTCCACGTGGGCAGCTTCACTGTCAAACAAACTAACGCTTGCTGGGGTTGGGTTTAACAGGTTTTTTTTTCTTCCTCCAGGCACTCAGGGCCATATATGTCTAAACTTCAATTCTGTAAGGACTTTCATGTATAGAGCAATAAAATTGATTATCGGATTTCTACTAACAATTCAAGTTATTGGATGTGCCGCTTTCATACAGTATATAATGAGGCAATGATCACATAAAGATATTAAAAATAACTAACAAGATAAAATTGGTCCAACTCACATTTGCTGGGTAACCTTATATATATATGGATGGATGGTAGTGATGAGTGAATCAAACCCACGTTTTCCTCAAGATTTTGCTTCCTAGATGCCAATTGCCATAATATATATCCATTTTCTGCCCATACTTCACTCTCTCTATACAATAGTTTGTATTCAGTATTCACATTCAGTCACCTCACCTCATATCCACTAACCGATAACCGATATAATTGAAATTCGGTTGGTTATTGGAGGCTGAACGAGATGGTTTTGGTCCTGGAGGAAGTGAGGTTAACCGATAACTAAGATAACCGAGATAGCCGAAGCCTAATTCGGTCGATTGTCGGTTGGGAAGTCCGGCCTTTCAGTTAATCAACAACCGACATTATAACCGAAAATCCACCCCTAATATCCACCATGTGCAATAAATGGAAGGAGCCCTCAAAATAACCAACTGTGAATTTATGTACTACCTTCCCTTCCCCAACAGTGTTATAAGGAAGGAAGGATGGAATCCATCCAAATTGTCAAATGCAACAACAGCTTCTTATTCTTTAACCACTCTGGCATTCAGTTTATCTGTCAGAGATGAAATGGTAAGAGAGACAGCCAATTGGCAAAATGTTATGAATTCAATTTGTTGGAGGTTGAAGTGAAGGGAAGAGAAGAGAGGGGACCTTTTGCAGGGTGTGGAGGTGTGAGGGTTGTCTTCTCTTCCACACCATATGGCCAAAGGCCAATTGCCCACCACCCTTTTGAGTTCTACCCAAATCTGCTTTTGCCTTCTTGCAAATCTTTTTGTCTTGCCTTTTGTTTGTGGGGTCAAATTACATGAATGGGCACCAAAACCTTTGGCTTATTGCTAAATTTGTTTCTAAAATTTGGAATGGCGAATGTAGTTTCGTTCTTGTCTGGATTTTCGTTCGAGCTGTCTTGCCAGTAATGCAAACTTTTATGTAAAAAAACTAAAAGTTCGATAACTAATTTGTTAATGATACGAAACCTAATGACCTCTACTGTAATTGGGTAGTGACTCGATTGGCTATTTGGCTTCCCTCAATAATGCAAAAAGGGTGAAGACTGAAGAAAGACTCTTCCTCTGCTACATTGCCTTTTTTTCGTTTGCCTAAAACAGGAGAGCCGTCCCCTACATTTGCAAGAAAAAGGCTGGACCTCAACCCACAGAATGAAAAATTATTGGGTTAAACAATGCTAAAAACGATGTCTGATCCCTTTCTTCTTGCTAGCCATTAGCCAACTGAAGATATTACTCTTTTTCCTTTATAAGTTGCCATGAATTGAAGCGAGTGTTCTGACTTTGCTACTCACAATCATTTGCTTTCGTCTAGTTCAGTAGCATCAGTAAAACATATATACGGGGAGTTCTATGATACTCAGGGTGAAATCTACGGTACAACATACCTTGAGTATGAAAACGCTATCTAGACCTTGAATTGATTGAATTTTCGAACATGATACTATACTCTAACTCTTAAAGATCACAATCTAGGGCCTTAATTCTCTAAATCTTATACCCCAAGATCAATTTAAATCGACGGTTATGATTCGCCCAAATATAGGCAAAAAAATGAATGCACCATCTTAGAGTTTATAGTTTATGATTTAGATAAGTAGGACCTAGGGTTCACTCATTAAGAGTTAGGGTATAGTATCAGGTCCAAAAATCCTGTTAATTCGAGATCTAGATAAAGTTTTCATACTCAAGGTATACAGTACCCCGGATTTCACCCGGGGTAATGTAGAAGGCAATATATACCATATATATTATTGAGTATAAAATAATAAAAGAGTTTCTCAAATCATGAATGTCTATTTTTCTTTTCACATTTACTAAAATCAATTATTCAAGTGTTGGGTATTCAATGCGTGCATGAGAATATAATTTTTGAATTCATTAACGATAAGGGCTTTACCTTATTCTTGTTATGATCCTACATAGTTTCAGTTATTTCTCCATTTCATCATAGACATTGTGCAAGAATTTGGCACATGCAGGCTAAAAATAGCACAATGGATCATGTTTATGAATGATAAAGAGATCAATGGATCATTATGCCAATTTTAAAGTATCAATGAAAGTCTTTGAGTTCGATATTTTTTTTACTCACTCATGCTTAATAAGAAGTTTTTATTGAATATACAGTCATCCGATACAAACTGGAGTTAAGGGGTCGTTTGGAAGTTGCGATTGTTAAATAGATGTATTGTTGAGAATGCATGTATAATATTATACATGTATTGTCGAATTTGATGCATTGTAGAATACAACGTTTGGTATGTGTGATTGTGTATGTCGCTTCTGCTAAAAGCTGAGACAAAACAATCCCAACTCAACTATCTCAACAATCACAACTAAAAGTTGAGATATAACAATCACTCAAAATGAGTGATAGTTTCTGTCAAATAACAGAAACAATCCATGTATTGTTTCTGCTAAAAAAACAAAAAAACGATGCATTGTAAACATGGTTCAAAAAAGCACGCTTAATCTCACGCTTAGGCACGCCTAGGCGCAAGGCAATGACAAAACGCCTCGCCTAGGGATTTCGCGCCTAATTAGATACTGGAACACGTTAATGGAGTACGGCGACATATAAGTCTCTCATAAACATTACTAGATGGAGCTAAGAAGCCAATATTAAATACCAAAATTAACATCAACTATGAAATCAAGTTTCTATTGCAATATTTTCAATAGCTCAATAACTTTGTGAACTATTGAGCTATGATTCTATGAACTCGTAAGCTATATTCCTGTCATTAAGTGTTGAGTAAGTTATTAATCATTTTAACTGAAGTGAGGAAGTGTTATAGATTATTATTACATTCATCATGCACTGTGAATAGCTTATTTCTTCCAACGCCTAGGCACGCTTAGTCAACGCCTAGGCGAGCTAGGCGCAAGGCAAAGGCTCAACGCCCGCCTTACGCCTAGCGCCTTTTTAAACCTTGATTGTAAACAATACATGCATAATGACAATCTCAACAAAACTATCACAACTTCCAAACTACCCATAAGTAGCAAGATTATAAAAAGAAGTCTGCGTTACAAGTAGTTAATGATTGCACAGGACAGAGGTGGACAAGTGCCTTTGATTTTTTGGTCTTTCTAGTTTTTAGCACTTTGTTTGCTTGGGAAGGCAATATGATTGTTATCGTGGACTTGTGCTAACGCATAAAGCTCACAATTTTGAACCGAAAGATCTCACTTGGCTTCTCAATAGGTATAATCTAATTTATAGCCATCTTCACGCCAACTTTCTTTCTTGACTCTCCTTATGTTTTACAAGGAGTGAAAATGGAGGAATATTGGAATATCGTGGGTTAAATGATATTACTATTTAGTAGTCGCCTTTCTCATATTTTGTTTAGAAGAAAACATTCCCTCCCATTCAATTATTGGCTTTCATCTCCAGGGATAATATATGAACAACCATAGATAAACAAAACTATACTAAGATATAGAATGTAGAACGCTCGTGTCTTACATATATCTAATGATAGAAAAGAGCGTTCGAAATTTCTATCTCTGTACCGAATGCCATGAAAGCAAATGTTTTAACAATTTCGACCGCAACCTTGATAAAGAAGCTATACTCTGTACCATCTACATTTATAGTATCAGAAAATACACGATACAGTTGAGGAGTCACAATTACCACTTGTCAACTTACAAGATGTGATTGAAGAACCTCCCCACACGACCCAACTTTTAGTACCAACCAAGCATTAGGCAGGTAAATTGTGTCAACAAATGACGGATATTGAGATGATTTTGTTGTAGGGAGAAGGTACACAAATATATATAGGGACCCTTTGACAAGCAAGACAAAACATTGAGGGCTGGCTATGAGAAAACAAACCAACGTTCTGCATTATTCTTTGGTTTATTGCCCTTGTGATGGTCGGTTCCTTTGAAGATTCTTCGAGGGAATTATTTTCTGTATTATTCTTTATATATGTTCTTCTTAAACTTGAATATGCTCTCATATGCACATGCCTTGCATTGCACAACGCAGCCACCCGCTTCCACATTTGCATATGCTCTGC